TTCATTTCATCAACATTCAAAACACACAATCCCTGACTACAATACCCTTTGCCCACAAATACATTATTTTTTGTCATTACAATCTTGTCAGATTTAAATAACACTTTAACCCCAACTTTTCCTAAAAGAGCAACTAACACTAAGTTTTCTCTAACTTCAAGCACATGCAGAACATCGTTCAGAGCCAGAGTCTTTCCTGATGTGAGCTTTAAGACCACATTCCCTTTTCCGAAAACTTTGGCAGTTCAGGAATCAACAAGGTAAACACGATTTTCCCCTTCTTTTACAAGATCATAGGAGGTAAACATCTCTTGGTTAGCACATATGTGCCTGATAGCCCCAGAGTCTACCACCATTTCTTCATATCAGAAATCAAGAAAGCTTGTGACACCACTGCAGCAATGATGTCATCATCACTGTTACCATCTCGTTGTACCAAATTTACATTTAGTTACCAAGGCTTATTATGGTTTACTCTCTTCCTACACTGTGCTGCATAGTGTCTTGGTTTAGCATAGACAAAACAGTCTCCTTTCTTCTTAAAAGAGGGGTTAGAAGCATTGGGTTTGTAATTAAATTTCCTATTCTTTTTGTCTTTGGTTTTAGGGTCATACCTCTTGTTGTGAGGCTTTGTCTCCATCAAGTTGTCTTTAGATGTCATCTCTTTGGTTCGAGCTGCACGTACTGCCTTACGGTTGGTATCTTCGATGATGATGTGAGTGATCAGGTTAGTCAAGGACAACTGTTTCTATTTATGTTTCAGCTGTTATTTGTAATCATTCCATGATTCTGGCAACTTCTCAATCATGATCCCAACAACGAACTCATCTGGAAGGTTGATGTTTTGAGCACGAAGCTCTTCCTGCAGCTTATTATATTCATTGCTCTGCTCCTTCACATCCTTGTTCTCGGTCATCTCCCATTTGTAATAGTTTCCCTCAATGAACTTTTTTTTGCCGGTGTTCTCAGCAATGTACTTTGTCACCAAGGACTCTCATATCTTACAAGCTTCTTTGTAGACATAGTAGACATCGAACAAATCATAAAGTACTAATGATAGTGTGTCAGCATACCTTGTTTGCATGAGTCCATGCAACTCTTTGGGCTTGATCAGTATCAGCAAGAGGCTCGGATTGAGCAAGAGCAGCAACCACACCATGCATGTCAAGAATGGTAAAGACTCGTTCCTGCTAACGTTTGAAGTTCCTGCTGTCAAAGACTTCTATCTTCGATATGTTTGGGAACGGCCTCGACAGGGGGACGGTAACAGCGGCTAGGACGTATTGATCTCCAACCGAACCATGAGGTACGCCTTCGGGAATGACATTCTCAGCACTTTTTTTTTAAACTCATTTTACTTGCTCACCGCATTCTTCCCACCTCATTCTTCAGTATTTATAGATTAAAAGAGTTCTTCATTTAATCAATATTAAATTTTGACACACACACTACATATTCGAGCTCATACCTTCTCCTTCATCTTCTTCGCAGTGTCCAAACTCAGCTCCTGAAGTCGTGCTCTGCTCTCAGTCGTCGGCTCTTCGCGTAGCTCTCCTTTAGACTTTACGCTAGTGCTCGTGGTCCTTATCCAGTCGTCCTGCTCGTGAAAACTCAAGAGGCTAGCGAGTTGCTCTATCTGTACCCATGGCTATATATAGCCTGAATATAGAGATATGAACGTTGGCTCATAGTCACCGGATTAAAGGCTCGGTTACATTGTCATAAATCACGTTTAAACACCTGTCTGGAAACGTTGGGGGGTTACGCAAACATAAAACATATTTAACCTTTTGTTTGGAAACACTGGGGAGACAAAAACGTTTAGAAAATTAATCTGGTTAATGGTTAAAAATGTTCATGGTTTGATTTCAACCTCTAGACAGCCAAAAACTGAGTTTTTCCATTAAGCCAAAAATAATTATTTTTGTAAAAATAATCTAGTAAAAGGAATTCATTGCTTCTTGAACTCGTGCGCAAGGGGACGAATCAGCTGATTTCAACTACGATGATTTCAACTACGATTGCCCTGAGTTGACTTATCTCATATGCTATCTCATATATACAAGCTCACTTTTTTTTTTAAACTCATTTTACTAGCTCACCGCATTCTTCCCACCTCATTCTTCAATATTTATAAATTAAAAGAGTTCTTCATTTAATCAATGTTAAATTTTGACACACACACTACATATTCGAGCTCATACCTTCTCCTTCGTCTTCTTCGCGGTGTCCAAACTCAGATCCTGAAGTCGTGCTCTGCTCTCAGTCAAAGGCTCTTCGCGTAGCTGTCCTTTAGACTTTACGCGAGTGCTCGTGGTCCTTATCCAGTAGTCCTGCTCGTGAAAACTCAAGAGGCTAGCGAGTTGCTCTATCTGTATCCATGGCTATATATAGCCTGAATATAGAGATATGAACGTTGGCTCATAATCACCGGATTAAAAGCTCGGTTACACTGTCATAAATCACGTTTAAACACCTGTCTGGAAACGTTGGGGGGTTACGCAAACATAAAACATATTTAACCTTTTGTTTGGAAACACTGGGGAGACAAAAACGTTTAGAAAATTAATCTAGTTAATGGTTAAAAATGTTCATGGTTTGATTTCAACCTCTAGACAGCCAAAAACTGAGTTTTTCCATTAAGCCAAAAATAATTATTTTTGTAAAAATAATCTAGTAAAAGGAATTCATTGTTTCTTGAACTCGTGCGTAAGGGGACGAATCAGCTGATTTCAACTACGATGATTTCAACTACGATTGCCCTGAGTTGACTTATCTCATATGCTATCTCATATATACAAGCTCACTTTTTTTTTAAACTCATTTTACTAGCTCACCGCATTCTTCCCACCTCATTCTTCAATATTTATAAATTAAAAGAGTTCTTGGTTTAATCAATGTTAAATTTTGACACACACACTACATATTCGAGCTCATACCTTCTCCTTCATCTTCTTCGCAGTGTCCAAACTCAGCTCCTGAAGTCGTGCTCTGCTCTCAGTCGTCGGCTCTTCGCGTAGCTCTCCTTCAGACTTTACGCTAGTGCTCGTGGTCCTTATCCAGTCGTCCTGCTCGTGCTCAGGTTGGTCCTTCTCAGTCTCCATTTCTACTCGATTATAAACCTGCTGCTGGTAGTATTTCGCAAGTGTGCTTGAGGAGTTCCTCTGGGACGTCTCAGTCATGGATTTAGATAATAGATGAGAACTAGATCTACTTTTGAATAAAAAAGCAAAACTTTTCAGACATGGTCATTAAATTTTATTTATTGTACTCAGCGGCGCTTCTGAAATCGTGAATTTTTGCTGGTATTTAAACATTTTACCAGTATCAGTTGCGTTTCATTTTGTCTATATGAGAGGTTTGTCTTTTTGGATGTTATTAATTTTGTTGTTTTTGGTGAACTAGGTGTTATGATTTTCATTTAGGAGAATTAGTTGCTTGGTTCACTGAGTTGCTTGCTTGGTTCACGTAGTTGTTTCATGATATTCATGGTGTATATATTTCTAGTAATGAGAAAAAGTTTTCTTACTAAACTTTCATGGTTTTTGGATGTGCAGCGGCAGAGGAGGTGAATTTATTGCTGTCTACTCCTTAATTTTATCAATCTGAACCAAGCCCTCGTTTCTTTCTTTGTCAAACATGATTAATTATAAGGAACATGGACTGAACTTACAGATTGTTATAGCTTGAGAGAGGTCAGTCAAGGTAACTCCCCATCTGAATATGGAATTTTCAGTTCATTCTTTTATTGTGTAAGAGCCATCTGAACAGGAGGAGATTATATTTAAGTCTTAATTGGTGTTGCTATCCTTTAGTGCTTGCAATGGCTCTCTGTTTATTTTTACTTTGCTTGTTGTATTGTGTTGTGTTGTTGCGTTAATTGTGATGTCATTTTATTGTGTTGTAATGTTCTATACACTATTATTAGTGTGCTGATTGTCTGGGCATTGAAGGCTGAATTTTTAGATGAAATTCTTTAAAATAATTTTTATTTGGATTTATCACAGGTTTAAATTTCATTTTAATTTTAATTACATATAGGCTTTAACTAGGCTTAAAGTCTATTTAAAATCTAAAATATGTAGGCTTTGAGTAGGTTCGAAGCCTTTGTGGCCTAAAATCATAAGTCTTTTTAAAGGCCTACATATGAAGTAAGCTTTTAAAAAGGCTTTAGGCTAGGCCAGGCCTATCGTAGGCTTAGGCTTGAGCCTAGAAAAAAGCCTGCATGCAGGCTTAGGCTTGAAACCTTTGTTACAGGCTCAGGCTTGTTTGGCCAAAGCTTAGTTTGGCTTGGCTTAGCTTTGAGTTGATATGTTGTCAAGTACAATGAAAATTTGAGTTATTTAAGAATTACATAAGGCTTTGAGTTGATATTTTATTTTAATTAAAATTTAAATTACTTAAGAATTGAGAATTTGAGTTGATATGTCAGTCAATTCAAGTACAATTAAAATGATGTGATTTATTACATCCTGCTTAGGTAAAGCATAGGTGTGGTGGTGTTTTAAGTGCATGCGAGAATTTCTCATTAGCCAATTGATCTTGTGGCACATCAACCTCTTTGGATACATCAACTTTATCAGCCTCACATAAACTTTTTGAGGATTGGCTTACTAATTGTTAAAAGTATAGGGGATTAACTAGGTAATAAATTGTGTAAACTTTAGGGATGTGTTTAATAAGATTGCTGATTCTAAAGGTCAAGATGAAATTATTGCAAAGTATAGGATCGATATATTAATATTTCCTTTTATATTTTGTTGTAGAAAATTAAGGTCATCTGCCACATTCACCATCATGTCATTGTTGTGCTTAAGTTCGCCATCAACAAGCTGAGCCAGTTGAGAAGACCAAAGTTGATCGAGCCAAATTGAAAGGCCCTGGGCACTGTGGATGGAGATAATGTCTATTCCATTCTCCATCTTCATCTTATTTGAATATCTTTTTCTGAAACTCTGAATGATGCCATGCTGTTTTACTTGGTAAGTATTAATGGTTTTTTATAAGATTCTATCCCCTCCCCTAACTTTTGAGTTCTCAGGTTTTCTATGATGTTGTGCCTCTTTACTTTGTCAATGCTAGTGCCATTTCCTGTGATGAATTTTTTGTTCCAAATAATTTTGAGGTCGAGTGTTGTTTACTATTTTTCATTCAGAATTTGAGCAGCATGTGGAAGCTGGAACCTTGTGGACACATATCCAAGAAGAAACACGTAACCTCAATACTTTAAGAGTTATGAGAATTTCTTGCCAGTCATCCACGTTAGTCTTCATATGTTAGTGCAGAGGATCCTGATACATGTTCATATTAGAAATTGATTGTTACGAAACCCTTTATTGAACAAAATTATGCCAAAACCTGTTGATTTTCAGATTTCGTATCAAATTATTGCTGAATTTTACTTGCATATTCACTACTATGAATGTCCGTGCACTGGCCAATCATTATGCAGCCCAACTCAGTCTATGCTGCTCCCTCAGTCCCATCAACAGTACCTGGGCTCGAGCTATCCATGCTCACATGATAACTTCCGGGTTCAAGCCATGGGGTCACATACTCAACCGCCTAATAGACATATATTGTAAATCAACCAAGATTGGCTATGCCCGTAAACTGTTCAACAGAATTCCCAACCCAGATATTGTTGCAAGAACCACATTCATTGCAACATATTCTGCTATGGGTAATCTAAAGCTGGCTGAGGAAATATTTAATAAAACCCCATTGCTTATGCGAGACACAGTTAGTTACAATGCCATGATTACAGCCTACTCTCATCATGATGATGGTCATGCTGCTGTTGATCTCTTTCGAGAAATGAAGCAAGAAGGGTTTAGTCCTGACAATTTTACTTTCTCCAGTGTGCTCAGTGCATTGGCACTTGTAGCTGATGATGAAAAACAGTGCCAACAGCTGCATTGTGAAGTAATTAAGTTGGGATTAGGGACAGTGACGTCAGTACTAAATGCATTAATATGTGCTTATGTTCACTGTGCATCTGCACCCAAAGTATCTTCCTCATTGTTGATGGCTGCTGCTAGAAAGTTGTTTGATGAGATGCCTCAGAAGGATGAAACATCATGGACAATAATGATTACTGGGTATGTCAGAAATGATGATCTCAGTGCAGCTCATGAATTACTTGATGGGATGACAGAAAACATAGAGGTTGCCTGGAATGCGATGATTTCTGGTTATGTGCATCATGCATATTATGAGGCAGCATTTGACTTGTTCAGAAAATGCATTCTAGGGGAATTCTAAAAGATGCCTATACCTACACAAGTTTGATTAGTGCTTCTTCTAATGCTGGTTTGTTTGAATATGGAAAACAGCTGCATGCTTATATTCTGAGAACAGAGGTGCAACCTTCAAAGGACTTTTTGTTGTCCGTGAATAATGCCTTAGTTACATTATATAGTACATTTGGTAAACTAGTCGAGGCAAGACATATTTTTGATAAAATGCCCCTTAAAGATATTGTTTCATGGAATTCAATTCTGTCAGGGTATGCTAATGTTGGGTGCCTTGAGGAAGCTAAATCCATATTTAAAGACATGCTTGAGAAAAATCTCCTAACATGGACTGTGATGATATCAGGCTTAGCACAAAATGGTTTTGGAGAAGAGGGATTGCAGTTACTCAGCCAAATGAAATTGGAGGGACTTGAACCATGTGATTATGCATATGCTGGAGCAATTAAATCTTGTGCTGTTCTAGGATCACTAGAGAATGGAAGGCAGCTTCATTCTCAGGTTATCCAATTGGGCCATCATTCAAGCCTTTCAGTTGGCAACGCACTAATTACTATGTATGCAAGATGTGGTGTCGTTGAATCTGCTTATTCCATGTTCCTCACAATGCCTTATGTGGATCCAGTGTCCTGGAATGCCATGATTGCAGCTCTTGCACAACATGGACATGGTGTCCAAGCTATACAACTTTATGAGGAGATGTTGAAGGAAGATATATTACCTGATAGAATAACTTTTCTCACAGTTCTTTCTGCTTGTAGTCATGCAGGCTTGGTTAGAGAAGGACGTCATTATTTTGACACAATGGGTGGTTATGGTATAACCCCAGGGGAAGATCATTATGCTCGTATGATTGATTTGTTATGCCGTGCTGGTATGTTCTCTGAAGCAAAGAGTCTAATCAAGTCAATGCCTTTTAAGCCAGGTGCGCCAATTTGGGAAGCTATTCTTGCTGGTTGTCGCATTCATGGGAACATAGATTTAGGCATTGAAGCTGCCAAACAACTCTTTGAGCTAATGCCTCAGCATGATGGGACCTATATACTCCTTTCCAATATGTATGCTACTTTAGGCCAATGGGAAGACGTAGCCAAAGTGCGAAAACTAATGAGGGAACGAGGTGTTAAGAAGGAACCTGGTTGTAGTTGGATTGAAGTTGAAAACAAGGTCCATGTCTTCTTAGTTGATGATACTGTGCACCCTGAGGTTCAAGCAGTGTACATATATCTAGAACAATTGGTATTTGAAATGAGGAAATTGGGGTACATCCCTGATACAAAGTTTATATTACATGATATGGAATCTGAGTACAAGGAACATGCCTTGTCTACCCACAGTGAAAAGCTTGCTGTTGTTTTTGGAATTATGAAGCTTCCTAAAGCAGCTACAATAAGAGTGTTTAAAAACCTGAGGATTTGTGGGGATTGCCATAATGCATTCAAGTTCATTTCCAAAGTGGTGGAACGTGAGATAGTTGTGAGAGATGGGAAGAGGTTTCACCATTTTAGACATGGTGAATGTTCTTGTGGTGACTATTGGTAGGCAGAGGTTTTGTTACTTGATTATCTATCAAGGGATGTCAATATCAAAAGTTGTAAATGGATTTGTTGTAAATGGATTTGAAGTATATGAAGTGGAGTATTAGCGAATCTGAGATCCAAAATTGAGACTGGCAGTGGCTTCAAAATGATCTATAAAAGATTGATTCATTGTAGTAGGAAAATTTATTTTATTCCTTCTTTTTTGGCATTCATTTTGCTAATTCTTTCTTTTCACTATTCTTCTGTATGACATTTTTTCTTTCATTTATGTTCTTACTTTTGTTTTCCTAATTTTATTCATTTGATTAATACATTGACCGATACTAAATAGCTTTAAAGGATAGGCTGGGGAAGTAGTTGATCAGGAACATAGAGCTCTGCGGTGTCATGTGCTTTCCATTACTTATTTTGGGCATATAATGCTTTCAAGCATAGAGAAAATTTTAAACCAGAATCATTATGCCATGATAACATTCTGACTTACAATTAAAATTTATGAATTGACCTGGAACATCTAATAAACTGAGTCGCATGATGCCATGTATACACGATCCCCATTTGTTTGTTTATTTCTATTCTTCTAATAAGCCCTTTTTTCAAGAATGTTGTTTGCTTCATTGATTGATGGGATTTGATTAGTTTGATTGATCTGTTACAATATTTTAGGTCAGTTAATTGGTAACTGAAAACATGCAGTTCAAGAACTTCTGACAATGCCACTATCAAGTGGGTTTCTTGGATGTTTATTATCTGGATTGTGGTTGTCTTGTATGGATGATTATGGCGCACAAACCTGTTGGTTTATTTATGGGAAGCATGGTTATATTTGTCATTATTTCTGTTGGTTAACAGATTGTAGCTTTGATTTTTAACCTAATTTCTTCTATCCTGGAATGATCTTTATTGATCTTTATTACCAAAAAAAAAAAAAATCATTTTCTTAATTGTTAAGTATTTCTCTATTGGTGCTGCAGAAATATTCATCCCCAGAGCTTTTGTTTGTGGGTTTTAGCTGGCAATTATGGTGATGGTTGATTGGTTTGTTTTTTTATTCTATTGGTGGGTTCTGTTGATGATAGGAAAAATGGACTATTCATAGTTTTTTATTATGTTCAGATGATGTTTTTAACGTTGTTTTCCTGTAATCATTTTCTACCTTATGTTCGTTGTGATATAACCATAGATTTCATATTTGGTTTTTCTGTTGTTTTGATTTCTATAAAGATTGGTCAAACAAAGGATTTTCCTATAAAGATTGGATTACATCAGGGATCATCTCTGAGTCCTTATTTGTTCAACTTGATCTTAAATGTTTTGACGGAACATATTCAAGGGGAAATTCTGAAATATATGCTCTTCACGAATGATATAGTTCTTATAGCAGAGACAAGAGAAGAGGTTAATTGCAAACTTGAGTTATGGAGGAGGACATTGGAGTCGTAAGATTTTCGTCTGAGTAGAAGTAAGACGGAATATTTATATTGTAAATTTGGTAAACGACTATTCGACAATAATTTGGAAGTGAAATGGGAGACTAAATTATACCTCAAGTGGAAAAATTTAGATATTTGGGAGCCATTATTTAAAATGATGGCGAAATCAGTGGAGATATTTCACATAGAATTCAAGCTGGGTGGTTTAATTGGAGAAAAGATAAAGGAGTTATTTGCGACCGTAAGGTGCCTGATAAACTTAAAGGAAAGTTTTATCGCACTACTATCAGACCGGCAATGTTATATAGTAATGAATGCTGGGCTCTAACGGGACAGCAAGAGTATAAAGTTGGAGTAGCAGAGATGAGAATGTTACATGGATATGCGGACATACACGTAAAGATAAAATTCAAAATGAGCACGTACGCAAAAAAAGTGAGGGTGGCTCCTATTGAGGAAAAAATGGTAGAAAATCGGTTGAGATGGTTTGGGCATGTACAAAGAAGACCAAGGGAGGCACCAGTGAGAAGAGTGAAACATATAACTTTGAATCCGATTAAGAGAGGTAGAGGAAGGCCTAAGAGAACACTCTTGGAAATTATTGAACGCGATCTCTTAATTAATAATATTCTTAAAAACTTGATAAATGATAGAGCATAATGGCGTCTTGCAATCCACGTAGCCGACTCCATCTAATGGGATAAAGGTTTGTTGTTGTTGTTATTGTTGTTTTGATTTCTATATACATTGTTTATTGATGTGTATATTTACCCCATCTGAAATTTATCTTATATTATTAAACTGATGTTTTGAACATTATAAATTCAAAATCAATTTTAAATCTTATATTACTTCCGGTGACCATTTATGTGTGATGGATAATTGATTGCAGTAATTAATGTATGCTTCACATCTACCATCACAAGTAGCTATATTTATATTATTTAGCGTTGACTCCTCTTAGCTCTTTTCCCGTGGTCTTTTCGTGTATTGCTTTATCAATTAGCGCACCTTGGTTGAATGATGGAAATTGTAATGAATAGATTTGTTTATATATATATATTTGAATCAGTTTATTGTTTCCATTCTCCAAAGTGGCTTCCAGAATTTTCTTGAACCATTTGCATTGCAGAAACATTAGTTCTCATGTGCTTTTCTTTGTCCTTGAGCAGTGATTCAGTCAACAGCTGTTTAAAAAAAATAATTACAACAATAATAATAAATTTTATTTTATTAGATGAGGTTGGTTATATAAATTATATGATGTTATTATGTTTTATTTTTTATTAAGTTTTTAAAAATATTGTTAACTAAAAGATCTCGATTAATAATCTTTAAAAGTGTTTTTTCAGTTTTCCTCTGCTTTTCTTGACGGGGTTTAAAATTATCCATTTCACTCTCCTCACAAGTGTCTCCAATGGTCTTCTTTGTACATGTTTGATCTACCTTAAATAATTTTTTACCATTTTTCTTTTAATAGGTGACATGTCCACTTTTTCTCATATTTGCTCATTTCAAATTTTGTCTTTACGTGTATATCCACACATCCATTTCAACATTTTCATCTTTATTACTCCAACTTTATGCTCTTGTTGTTCTGTCAAAGCCAACATTCATTGTTATATAAAATTGCTGGTCTTATAGCAGTTTGATAAAACTTTCCTTTAAACTTATCAGGTACTTTACGATCACAGATAACTCCTTTAGCTTTTCTCCAATTAAACCACTTCGCTTGTATTCTATGTGCAATATCTCCATTAATTTTTTATTTTATTGAATAATCACTTCCAAATATCTAAACTTTTTCACTTGAGATATGATCTGATCACTCAATTTCATTTTCAAGTTACTAATCGCTGACCCTTTATCAAAATTACAATGTAAATATTCTGTTTTACTCCTACTCAGACCGAAATCTTTTGACTTCAATGTCTTCCTCCATAACTCAAATTTACAATTTATTTCTTCTCTTGCCTCTACAATAAGAACTATATCATCTGCAAAAAGCATGCATTTAGGAATTTCCTCTTGAATACGCTCAATCAAAACATCTAATACTAGATCAAACAAATAAGAATTCAAAGATAATCCTTGATATAGTCTAATCTTTATAGAAATTTTTTTGTTTCACCACAAAGCGTTCTTATACTAGTTGTTGCCCTCTCATACATGTCTTGTATAGCTCGATTATAAACAACCCGAACACCTTTCTTTTTCAATGCCTTCCCAAGTACTTTTCTTGATACACAATGATAAATTTTTTTCAAATCAATGAAAATTATATGTAAATTTTTACCTTTACGTTGATATTTTTTCATTAATCCTCTTAGTAAATAAATCACTTCTATAGTCATTCTCCCTAGCATGAAGCCGAACTAATTCTCAGAAATACTAGTTTTGAATCTCGACCTATGTTCAATCACTATTTCCCATAATTTTATAGTATGAATCATAAGTTTAATCTCTCTATAGTTGGTACAATTCTAAATATTTCTTTTATTTTAATAAATAGGAGCTAAGGTGCTTTTCTTCCAATTGTCAGTATTCTTTTGGATTGTAAGATCTCATTAAATAACTCAGTTAACCATCACATTCCTCTTCACCCAAACATTTCCACATTTCAATAGGGATACAATCAGGTTCATTGATTCTATCATTTATCATTTTTTTAAGTACTTCTTTTCACTTTACAAGCTCATATTTTTCAATAAAATGACAAATTTTACTTTCTTTTGGATTATTAAATCTTTCAAGTTAATTGATGAACTACTATCGTCATTGAAAAGTTTAGAAAAGTGTCTCCCTTATATCTTTAATATTATTATCTATGACCAAAATATTTTGTTGTTCATCCTATATTCACCTTACTTGAAAAATGATTGATTCACGATATTTATTTAGGGAGAATCTCGTTAAAGGTATTGAAAACGAAGATATTCACAATAGGACCCACAATAAAATCTGATGAATGTGCAAGCTCTGGGGCCTCGGTTGCAGTTACAATTCTTAGTGAAATGACACAGATGCGCCTCTCTCCTTTTAAGCACTGGATGACCTGCACTGTCACAAATCCAATGCCACCCTTGAAGTGGGAAAGCAAATCCCTGCCAACAGCAAGAGGTTGTATTGGAAATGCCCATTTCCAAATTCAAGTTCCACTCTTGACGGCAGATGCAAAAACACAAATACCCGCCATTCAACCTCATGACAAATTCCAAGTCCACGATCTGCAAAAGGTTTTCTCCACACCGCAACTTCCATTCTCCCTACAAGACAGCAAAATCCTGTAACATGACCTCAGCCTGAGAATTTCAACTCCAGGGAGGTCTCGAGATGCCTCAGCTTTCGGAATTGTGCTGCGTGACCGAGAGCTTTTCGACTGCCACCACAGCCGCTATTGGAGAAAGTAAAACAACTAGTCAGAGGTTGATTCACTCTCCCTCATCAAATCCGCCCAGAAAGTGTCCTTCCACCGTCGGCAGTGCCAGTGTTGGATAACGGAGGTTCAAATTCCGGCGAGGAGAGCACAACCTTCGCCTGAGAAGAGGAATCAGGGGAATACAAGGACTAGTGGAAGTGAATCTGGTCAGGTGACTGCGAGAAAGCCCAGTGACATTTGTGTCATTTCATACGGAATTTTAATTGCAACTAATACCCTTGGACCTACAAGATAATATTCGATTTTTTGGGTCTTTTTTGTGAATATCTTAGTTCTGAGGGCTTTTAATGAGATTCTCCCTTTTTATTATTTATTGAAT